TTTACTGATCACAAATTAACCAATTTAATGGTCACAGTTGACCAAATAATTTGTGACCAACACTTGCGACCACAACCACCGACCCGACCATGACCACCAACAACACCGTCGACCACCACTGCCAGATCCACCGTGCCAGGTAGCACCGCCACCTACACCACCAACAAAAACTATCACAAATCTCCAACAACACCTAGCACCAAGGCAACCCATCACCACCGCACCCAGATTGGAGAAAATAAACCACCTCAGAAACCTCAACACCCTGCAACGTCACGGCAAACAGAGGCAAACACCACCATAAACAACCAAACACCACGACCTCAAAACCACCACAAACAGAGGAACACCACCGCAAACAGAGGCAAACACCGTGCCTACTCCGACCATAGAGATGCAACATATTTTGAAAACCCCCACCACCACATTCACTCTAGATATCTAAACCACATTCACTCTAGATATCCTCCACCAGCACCACATCATCTACATCACATATTGTTTACCGGTCACATGAGTTGATTTACACCACCACCACAATCATCTACATCACATCTAAATTCAAAACCCCTACCACCATATTCACCCTAGATATCCAACAAATCGTCGACTGCAACCTTTGGACCATCATGCGCCGCTGCACCACCAGAACAACTATTCCACACTCTCCGCTTCAGATTGTGGTGGTGGTGGTCGCCGGTGTTGGTAATTGCGGCCGCTGCGGTGATGGCGATAATCATCGTAGTCAGCGAGAGGGATCATAGCAATGAGAGAGAAATGTACAGAGAGACGAGTTTGGGGGAAATGGGTCGATTGGAGAGAGTATGGTTGGTTTATCGATTAATTTAATTTAATAATATATTTATCTAATAATAATATATTAATTAAATATAAAACAGTTTTATTTTTGAATTGTTAAACTTGCCATCTGATTTTAAAATGTTGGATTTTTAAAATATGGTTTTATGTAATTTCCACTATCTTTTTCTATCTTTTAGAATCAATTGATTTTAATTTATTTATGCTCCTTTAATGTGATGGTTATTTTTATTTAATATTTGTTTTTAAATTCTAATCAAGTAATAAGTAATAATTGTTAATACAATAAATTAATATTGTTAATTAAAATGTCAAAAGTTACATTCGATAATTAAAAGTTAAGAATAAATTAGCACTAGAACAACATAAATATCTTAAAAACATAAATTAAAGTACAATACAACATTAAACTAAGACATTAATTTAGTACTTCAGAAGGTCTTTTTTTAATTTCCTCCAAGACCTTCGAAATTGTCACCCAAAAAAACCAAAAGTATGGGACGTATATATGTAATAGTTTTGATACATAAGTTATAAAACAGAGTGTCATTTTTATTTTATATAACTTTTTTTTTTGTGTGTTCAACATAATTTTTTATATTATGGTATTTTGTTTGAGGTTTTTTAAATTTATTAATTTATGCAATATTTTAGTTCATTAAATATAATAATCTTAGTAATAATATGGTTTTAATTGAATGATTTAAAATAAAATTGGGTGTAAAATTTGGTTTAAGACCATCTCCAATAGTTACACCATTTTTTATGTAACTTTTTCACCAAATATTAGGTGTAACCATTGGCATTGGAGAGGTTACTGGTACAATTTGGTGTAAAATGCAAACAAGAGCCATAGATGACTATTCTTTTGTGTTAAAAGAATTATCTAGACTAGTTCCAAGAGACATTAAAAGCCTATATGCAAGACAACTCATTTCAAGGTAAATTGTAGTGAAGGTTCTAAACATTTCAAAAAAGTATAGTATAGTTCCAAAATTTTAAAAAATGTTATATAAAAGGATCTCTGGTTAGTTCCTGTCTGAAAATTCATTAGTTGACAAAAAGCAAACATTTGATTATAATTTGACTATTTTTTTTAAAAGATAAATTAAATTTTCAATATTTAATCAAATAACATAAGCAAAATTGCAATGAAGGTTTCCAACGTTTCAAAAAAGTGCAACAATATCCTAAGCTTTTCAGAAATATGCACCCTAAGGACCTCTAATGATTTTCATTTAAATGTCTGTCAATTGACCTAAAGTCTAAATCTAACATTAATTTGACCAATTTTAAAAAGGAGAAAATGATCTTTTTAAATTTAATTAATTAAAACAAATAAAAAATAGAAACAAAAATTAAAAGTTCAAAATGTTTTTTTCTTTTTTCTTTTATTTATTATATTTGTTTGTTTCTATTTTCAAATTGTCTTAATAAATTAAATATTAAAAGACTATTTTGTCCTCCTCAAATTTGATAAAATTATGATCAAATGTTTGTTTTTTATGAACGATAGATTTTTGAATGTAAATCTTATTTTCCAATACACTTATCAAAGATTTGGGACAGTGTTGCACATTTTCTGAAGTTTTGGAACATTCAATACAAATGTTAAAACTTAAAAGACCATTTTGTTCTTTTTAATATTGGTCATATAATCATTCGTTTTTTGCCCCCGAAGAGTTTAATATTATAAGAAATTGTTATATCATTCTATCTTTTCTCCTTCCTACGCTGTTTTCGCACTTTTCTTTCTTTCTTTCTTTTCCTTTTCCACACACTTTTATCCCTACCTTTTCTCCCACCTTTCTTTCTTCCTTTATTTATTTTCCCCTTCACACACTGTTCACACACTTTTCTTTCTTTTCCTTTTCCACATACTTTTAGCCTGACCTTTTCCGAGTTAAAATGTTTCATTGTTCACAGAACTTATACCTATGTCACGTTTTACTCACCAAACTCTAAAATGTTTCCGATTGGTCACTAAGCTTATAGCTTCATCACACTTTAATCATTGATTTTTAAAATGTTTTCAATGGCGACTGGACTTGAGTACATTGCACTCAATCACTCACTTATCATGTTTCATTAGTCACTGAACACATGCCTCTATCACGTTTTACTCACTAATCTTTAAAATGCTTTCGAATGGTTACTGAACTTCATAATGCTTTCTAGTGAAGTTAGGGATGGCAGTGAGTCGGGTTCACCCTGAACAAACCCCGCCTCGTCCCGCCAACCAATGAGACAGGGCCCCCTCCGAGGCCAAACGGGGCAGGTTCTTCTGCCATTTCTAAGTGAAGTTGATATCTGTAAAATTTGACCTAGATTAAAGAAATAAAATAAATATCGACTAGATAATGAGACACTCAATCTAAGGTGAGAGTACTGATATTGATCAAGAATATAAATAATTTCTCTAATCATCAAAATTATACTTAGGGGGAAAGAAGAATGCTACATAAATCTAAATTTACATCATAATCTTCCTTCACATCGAAAAAAAATTAGAGAAAATATTTATTTATTTCAATTGCGATCGTAGACCCAAATGATCAAGAAAATGAAAAATTGTAGCTCAAACTTGCTATGAAATTTGTGATTTAAAGTCAATAATATTAATTAATAGTAACGAAATATAATTTTTAGTGACCTCACAAGGTAATTCAAGAGGAAAGATGGGCGTCGTTTTGTGTATGGTATATTATACTTCAAAATTTTCGGTTGAATTCAATTTCAAGCCCCATTATTTGGAGATAATGTATTTTGAAATAATATTTTGATTGAGAATGTGTGGTTAAAAATAATGAAAAATTTTAAATTTATGTGTAATTTTATTTTATTTAAAAATGTGTGGTTGAAAAGAAGACAGAAAAAATGAATTTTGAAAAAAAAAAAAAAAAGGGGGGGGAATCGAACAAGGGCAAGTAACATTCTTGTAGATGCCGTGCATATCCATTTCTCTAATTTTGCGTAGTCCTTTATTTCCACCCGTTCACATCTGAAGTTGGTCATAGGGCATCTCTTTAAGCACGCTGTACTCAAAATTGGGTTGCTTACAAAATTTATGCAAACCAAATTCTTATCTGTTTTATATTGCAATCTAACAATGGTTTCCTTTGCTCATTAAAAAATGAAGTATTCTTTGAATAAATTTTTTTCGTGTGTAGTCTTTTTCCTGGTAGATGATGGATTCAATTCCATGGGCCTTCCTTACAAGTTAACCTTCTCATCAAAAGGGATAATAACTAATGAAGAATTAGGATTTATTTTTTTCCTGACTTTAGCACATACATATCTAAAATCTCTGTTTCTCTCCCCTGCTTTTCAAATGGTAACACTGCTTATCTGTTAAGCATTTACGTTGCAAATGGTAACACTGCTTATCTGTTTTATTTTCATTCATATCTTATAGCTGCTCGTTGGGCGTTGAATCACAAGAAAGCTACAACACCACTTAAAAACAATGTAAATAGTGCTAATGGCCTCCCTTACCACCTCCCCTCTTATTATAAATTTGCAATAAATAAATAAAGGTGAGTCAAGGTAAATATATCCCTTCAAACCATGCTGCATCTGAGATTTAATTCTATCTTCGTACCTTTTTGTTGAAAAAAGCAGAAGGTTTATAGATACAATTCACCTTTCATGTTTTCTCCAGACCAGCGGCATAAACACACAGAGAGATCACAAAAAAAAAAAATAGATAAATAAATAATAATGGAGAAAGGAAAGCAAAGAAAGAAAAAATGAAACAGGGAGTCAGGGAAGAGACCATAGTGTTTAGCTGCATTGTGCAAATTGCTAGTGGGAATGAGAAAAGAATGAATGTGTTGTTCAAGAGTATGAATGGTTTATACATCCTACATGTGGGCAATTGGGATGAAGATGATGGCTATTGGAAGCTGTGTCTTGGCAATCTGTTGTATATATGGTGGCGGTTCTGATATTTGAAGAGGGGGTGGTTGTTTTAGCAATTACAGTTTCAGCCTTCTTTAACAGCAAAATCCAAGTTTTAGCTCTGATATGAAAATATGATTTGTCAATGGAAATATTTAACAGAGAAAGAGAAAGCAATCTAAGAAGAAGAAAGGAAAGAAGAAGAGAAGCAAGAAAGGGGGGAAATCGGAGAGAATGTGGGGAGAAAACCGAAGAAGAAGAGATTTAGAAAGACAGAGGAGAAAACTTTTTAAACAAGCATTTCATTCATATTCATCAGTCATCATCTCTTTTGAAATTACATTACCAATCTATGTAAATAGAGAAATTGGCAAACCCAGAAGGTAAATGAGTTTGGGCCAAACTCAATAATATAAGCCCAATTTAAACTAAACAAAGCATATATAGGTGATGACCGCATCAAGAATACTCAGAGATTTTCAACAAGATTCAATTAACCTCCCAATTAAACAAAATTGCAAACAGATTTCATTTTCTCTTATTCTAAAAGTAACTCGCAGTGCACCTGAAATCTTTGCGAAGTTGCAATTGCCCATTCCACTATCTCTGAATCTGGAGCAACTTTATAATTCTGCAAAAAAACAAAAAATAACAAAATGGAGGAATTAAATTTAGGAATCAAGAAAAAATGATTGAAAGAGGCCTTCAAATGCACGATTAAAGCGTGTTAAGAGATTTTGTGAGGCAATAATTTTGTTGAGAAATGAAAGGGACCAAGAAAGGGTTACAATTTGCAAGGGAGAGTGTGTGAAGTAATGGGTTGGGAAGTTAATTTGCATTTCTAAATTGATTTCTTAAGAGCTAGTGTACCAGGTGACGTGACACACTATAATATGTGGTATAATTAATTTTGTAACCAATCATTATTTTCCACCACCTATTAAAGTATGTCATGTCACAATAATATTTAGCATAAGATAAACACAAGTGCTTATGAGATTAGTCATGTTGAATATGTTTAATTAATGTGGGCAACGTTATTTTGTATGTTGAATTAAATTGGGCTTACTTATATTATATTAATTTTAGTATAATATTTATTTAATTAATAGCACTTCTAATAAGAATGTTATGATTAAATGTTATAAAAAGTAGAAATGTTGTAGTGTGTGTGGAAAATTTTGAAGATAATTATACAATTATAAAATTGGTTCCAAAAAAAATATAACCCATCCCAAAATCTCGTGTAAAGTCTAAATTGTAATTGAAGTTAAACCCATAGCTATATTCATTAATTTAAATATTGTTTTCGCATGACCCCTGGCATGTAGACTAAACTCATTTTATCATCCCAAGTCTTGAACAAAATTAATAAATGCAAGGTTACGACCTTTGTCTACATTGATCGAAATTAAGCTTTTCTCCTTTAATCTCAAGCCAATATACAATTGAAACACGATCTTTCAGATTCTGAATGAGAGATCCTGAATTGAAACAAATGGCACACAATTATATTCTCCCAATCTAAGGTTTTATCCATTGTATATGTTAGAAAGTCAACTTTGCACCCAGTTAAGTACTTGTAAACAAAACAAGCTATATCCATGAAGTAAAGAGTATTGTGAGCCAAAATAAAATAAAATAAAGGGGTTCTAAATTCAGAAATATGTTTAGTCCCACTTTAATAGACTAACAGAGTATTGGAATAGAAGATAGAGTTCATGCTTTGCTATCACTCATTTATGAAAAATTATCACGTATCATACCTTTTATGAAGTTTATTTTGGTATGCATGTGAAAGCTTAGTGTTGAAAGACTAAAGTTGAATAAACTGTGCAGTTAATATAAATGGATTATTTTCTTAGTAGATACTTTATGCCCAAGGGAAACTTTTACCACAGGATAGGAGTTGCCACGGAAAGCTATGTTTCCATAAGATTTGGAATCGACATGAACCTTAAGGTCATAGTTCCCCCAGTCTTCTTGTTCCTCTAGTATTGAATTTGCCGATTTCTCAACAGATAATGAACATCCATACAAGAAGATTTGCTGAAGAGTTGGAATTTCTCCAATTGCAGGAGGGATGAATTTTAAAGCAAAGCATTTCCTAAGACGTAGGCACTGTAGGCTTGGGAAATGTGCTGCCTCGGCTTCCCAGATTTTAAAATGAAACGATTCAACATGCAGGAATTTTAATCGAGAAAATTCCCCTTCCGTTTTCCATGCATTGCTTTCGAAGACACCCTCTTTTAGTTTGAGAACTTCAAGATTGGGAAGATTACGACCAAGAAACATATTATGCATAGAAATTCTGCAACCACTCAAAGTCAACTTCTTCAGATTTGGTGGGAAAGCAAAGTTCTGTGGCAGAGGAACCTTTTCCACATCATTGGAAATGACGTTGCACTTAAAACTTTCGAGTTGACGCAGATGTACTAAATTCTCAAGACAATAGAATGACAAGTCACTTTGAAGTCCAAAATGGTAAGAAATTCCCAAAGTCTTCAGGTTCGGAATTATTTGAAGGGCCTCCTTAGTGAATCTGAAATTTATTACTCCTGTAAGTGTTTGTAGGTTCACATTTTGTGGACCATCAGAACAAAGCAAGACAACTTCATCGAACAAGAGATGCCTTAATTGTGGCATCTCCCAGAGTCCCAGTGGTAAGAACAATCTTTCAGCATGAGAACATCGAAAAACAATCAAGGTCTGAAGATTGCAAAGTTTAGATATTGAGGCAGGAATCTTGAATTTCCCACTGTAGGACAAAGCAATATACCTTAAATTAACAAGTTTTACTATTTCAATTGGAAACTTAGAGAAATTTATATTTCCTGCTTCCAACACCCTGAGCAGCTGAAAACATAGAGAATTTGGCAATGGACTATACGTGAAGTATAGAAGTGAACGGATAGTTGAGTCATATATGACTGCATTCTGCCCATTCGGATGAATACTTAGGTGACGCTGATTTTTCACGACTTCCGAAGAAATATCAAATTCTTGATTGGCGACATAAAGAAACTTCTCCTCCTGAGCTTTCCTCATGCACAGTTTTCTCATGGTGTCATGGATGCTGCAGGTTTTGATTTCCCCGGTGTAATTCTGGTCACGAACCATAATTAGATTTCTATCAATAAGTTCTTCCAAATACTCCTTTGCCACTTCTTCCAAACTTTTATGTGTGTTTGGCTTTAAAAATCCCTCAGCAACCCATAGCCTGATAAGATGGGAGACATGGATCACATAATCTTCAGGGAAAACTCCCATATAAAGGAAGCATGCTCTAAGATGATGGGGCAAGTGGTTGTAACTCCAAGACAGTATTTCCATTAAATTATCATCATTTCCAGTTACTGCAGATTTCACATTTTCTGCAACATACTCCCAATTGGCTCGTGTCTTCTCAGCTTTGTAGAGGACACCACCGATTACTACAAGTGCAAGTGGAAGTCCTTTGCATTTTTCTACTATTCTCATTCCAATTTCCTCGAGTTCAGAGGGACAGCATTCGTTCCCAAAGGCCTTCTAGCACAGAAGACTCAAGCTTTGTTTGGGACTTAGAAAACTCACATGGTGAATATAGGCAGAAGAGTCGGCATTAACAATGACACTGGATAGGCGAGATGTCAAAATTATCCGACTTCCATTACAGTCATCCGGGAATATCCTTCTAAATTCATCTAAGACTTTGGCATCCCACACATCATCCATAACAATGAGATATCTATTGCCCTTCAAACGTTGATATACTAGTGTTTTCAATTCATCTGTTTCCCTTCGAATCATTTCTTTAGTGAGGTCTCCCATGGATTTTAGAAGGTGTACAAGCAGTTCTTGCACACGATATTCCTGAGATGGAGTTGTCCAAGCCCGAATGTAGAAGTGCTCCTTAATATATGAATCATTGTAAATATTACTAGCAAGTGTTGTCTTGCCAATGCCTCCCATCCCAACGATTGAAATGAATTTCAACCTAGAGGGTTGCCCAACCAGTTCTTCCTTAATTTGGAGCAAGTCATCTTTGAATCCCACCATGGAATTCTTGTTAGTGGAAGCAGATTTTGATGAAGTGGCATGCAAAGAGTTCCTTGGTTGCAGATCTAGTACGTCATTTCGGTCATTAGCATTCAACACCTCTTCTGAAAAAGAATTGAGATTGAAAAGACTGAAAAAATATTGATTGAATGACCTTAAAAAATACTGGTCATTTCAATTATTTGCCATATTCTTTTCAATAGATCGAGACGTTAAATTTTAACTAACTAGTATCTAACTTCTAAATGCCATTCAACTTCCTTTATCCTTTTTCTCAAGATTTAAAATGATAGTGGAATTCAATTCCTTCCTGGCTAGAACACGACATGAACAATCTAAACTTCTTCTTTGCAATAAATAAATCCAAGTTGATCATCCAACCTTTAATTTGCATTTTGATGTCTTATGGAGTTTTTAGACATATAAAACTCTGTTTTCATTATCTCAACCTTAAAGAATAAACAAGACGGATAGAAAAGGATGGACATATAAATAAAAGTAATTCAAGCAAGATTATACATAAATAACATGTAATTAATAACAGTAAATTGGCAGTAACAAAGTGCAAATGTGATGGATTTTAACAAAGAAATGTACTTTAGTCATTGATTCATTTGGGCCCCGGGTAGCATTTTTTTTTTTTTTTTCAAAATGCATTTTTCTCTCTCTCTTTTCGACCACACATTATTTATTAAAATAATATTACACGTAAATAAAAAACTTTTCCTTATTTCTTAACCACACATTTCACATCAATTTACTATTCTAAAATGCATTTTTACATAAAAATATCTATCAAACACCCCTTATCAGTTTAGTCTTACCAGTGTCTTCAATTCCAACAACTGAGGTGCTTTTAGATTCAGGAGGTGGTCCACTGAGCGGATCCGTAATTTGCATCGAATCATTATCAAATCCCACTACAGTACTCTTGTTACTGGAACTGGACTTTGATGAACCTTCTATGTCTTTCATGCCCATCATCTTCTCCACATCTACCAAAACGGAATCAATCTCTTTTATTACCTTCTGTAAGCCATCTGAATGAATCTCTTTTGACATATGCAATTCAATTATGTCCTCTGCTTCATACGTTGCATCTCTGATTCTTGCTTCCAAACATGTCATTGATTTAGTATTTCCGGGTGAAGAATCTTCCAGAAATGATAGCAAGAAGCAAAGATTTTCATGGAAAGATTTGATCTGTTTCTCGTCATGAAATATTCGAATTTCATCTCCAGAACCCAGGATCTGTTCTAGTGTTTGAGTAAGTGAAAGTAGAGCAGCATAAGCCATATCCAACACTTTTCCAGGCACACAAACTCAAGATTTTTGATGAACAGCCAGCCTTTAGAGGCAAAATGAAGACTCGGTGAGAAAAACTGAAAAATAACCTACTGTATAATAGCAACTTGGAATTCTTAATCCATTAAATAAGCCATCACATGCAAGTTCCATAATTCGAAGTCGGCACATGGGACATATCATATTAAAATTAATTATTGCAGTCAAGTTATTTACCAACTCGAGAAAAGCAGTAACTTTCCCTATTGTATAATAGCAACTTGGAATTCTTAATCCATTAAATAAGCCATCACATGCAACTTGCTAGTTTTATAATTTGAAGATAAGGAGTGACATATTATATTAAAATTGATATTGCAGTCAAGTTGTTTACCAACTCGAGAAAAACTAGTAAAGTTGCCTAGTGCATGTATAATAGCAACTTGGGATTCTTAATCAATTAAACGATAAATCATATACAACTTAATGGCTATGTAATTCCAAGTAAGAGAGTGATATAATTAGCATTGCAATCTGAAAAGCATGGAGTACCATTCTGATACCAATTCTGATAACGATATTTATGCCCATCTAACACTTAGGGGGGTGAATCGGTATATAATGCTTAATTAAAAATAACAACTAATAATAAGAAACAAGTCATTAATTATTGTCTCTAGGTGATTAAGTTTAATCAATATTAAACCCTAACAATAAATCATACAAATATGTCAAAACAATAAAGTCAAGTTAGCTCCATATATGTTTACGAAGGAAACCCGTTGAAGAACACTTCAGAGTGGCAAAAATTTGATTTTGATCTCCACCAAACATCTTATTTAAATCCCCACCAAACTTCTATAAAAAATGTACTAAAGATCTGATTTTAATCTCCCACCAAACTTTTTATCAAAATCTACTAAAAATCTAATTTTAATCATCACCAAACATATAGGGGCATGATAAGTTGAGATATAATACCATAATAGCTAAATTAGCAACACAACATATAATATCAATATTATACAAAACACATAACATAATATCAGTAAGGCAAAATATCAAATCATGCTAGTCAAAACATTAATATCGTAAGCAAAAATTAATCCCCAAACTCAAATATGAAAAATAAACACTATTATTCAATCAACCTCGCCTCCCTACCTCATATACTACTCAATTCCTTGAAATAAATACTAATACATCTCCTCCTTTTGTCACAAATAATAAAGAAAAGCAAGTAATAGAATAATGAATAACACAAAGAAAAATGAGTGAAAAACTATGCACATGGACAAACTATGCAGAAAATGTAATGCTTAAATAAGAAATAAAAAATAAAATTCTTTTAGAGATACTCTTTTTTATAAATTTTTCAATATAACATCATATATTAAAAGCTCAAATCACATGATCACATGAACAATTATTTGCTTATTTATACAAGTATAATTCATAAATAGCGAACTTTTTCCAAGTAACTCATTATAAATCTATATGGAGTAAATTGTATAAGCAACCCATGCATAAAAAAAATGCTACTAATCTTCTCTAAGCAAGACTTAAACCTTAAATTAGTAAGAAAAGAAATGTAAAGAAATCACTAATGAATTAATATATGCTCATTAAGTATGTCTTTAGTTGCATGCATCTACAAGGTCATTTGTCCGCATATTCATGCATGCACTCTAATTTTTTCATTATCTCGTTTGTTTTGATTTTATTTGATAAAGTTTAAAAGAAAAAAGGAAAAGTTTTTATATAACAATTTTAAGGTGATTGGACATGGTATTTTATGATCAAGTAATAGTATTATTAATGAACGATGAATAAAATTTCTATTAACTTTGTTCAAAATTTGCTTAGATTACTGGGTATAAGTTATTTCATGTATCATTCGCATTGCATACATTAAGCCTTTGTGAATGAGTCTTCATCACATTGTGTTATATCTTATACATTTATTCGTAAAGGTCTAGTTATCTCGAGCATCCCTCTTCTCTCTTTATCATTCCTATTGTTTTTTTATTGAATTTCCTAAATTTCCTAACAAAGTAGGCATCTTCCCCATCCTTTAACATTTCATCATCAATTTGATCACTGGTCTCTTCCTTAACAATGTTTAGGGTTAAAGACTTAATTTTTCTTAGACTGGGGTAAGCTAAGTTCATATGAATGGAGAGATTCTACAAGCATTTAGATCCTTACATTCTTCGATAGTTGTGACTTTAGGTCAAAATCTCTTAGGTAGTGATTTCATAACCTCTCTCATAATCTTAGCATCAGGAATTTATTCACCTAGGTAAAAACTCCAATTCACAATATCATTCAGATTAGCATAGAATTCATCAAAGGACTCATCATTCTTCATTTTATTTTTTTTCAAACCTAATGGTCAACATTTGAAACTTAGAGTTTTTATGGTCTTAGTTCTCTCATTTGTGATTTCTAGAATATCCCAAGCTTTTTCGCAATGTCACACATGGATAGCCATTTAAACCCTTCAAGGAAAAATAACAATAAAGATGACATTGACACTTTTACTATTCCAATTATACTCCGTTAAATCATCTTTAGACAAAGTAGAGATATTTGTCAGTATAATAAGACTAGCAATAGATGTAGATAGTGCAGTCTAATACTTTTCTAGACTAACCCACATGTTCATCCATAAACTTTAAAAGACTCTCACCCTAACCTACTAGTAAGCATAATTGCTACCATCAAGATAAGGAAGAACGAAAAGTGATTGACTCATCTAGACAAAGATAGTTCAAGGATTGCAATTAAGCTCTAATACCAATTAAAAAAGCACGGGAGAGAAATTTATGATAAAAATACTGACAACTACTCAAACAGTGATCCCTGGCCACCCACTTGGCCCTCGAGTGACTGGTGAATTTCGAGAGTTGTGTCTTGCTTCAAACAATAGTTTTTCATTCCATATATATGTGTGTGTGTGTGTGTGTGTGTGTGTGTGTGTGTCCTACCCTATGAACTTTCAAAAGTATGTTGAATCATAATTATCTCATAGAGAACATTCCTTTAAAAAAAATCCTAATCACTTTCATTGATTTCAGTATTCAACCATCAAATTATCTTATTCATAGATTCATCCAAACTTAGATTTGTTGATCAAGCTATAAACATTCGTATTAAACCACAAATTAAAACACACAAGATCGTTGATCAGACATCAAATCTACCTTCGCCAATTAGCCTTTAGTTACTGGAGTTCTTAAAAAAGGTGCTTGGAGTTTCGCTGCTATAGAACGAGATTCGTTCTTAGATGTCCACAGGAGATAAACGATACCACGGGTCGGGCTAGTGTGAGGAGCATTCAGTCTAGGAGGTCCAAGGTAATTACATGAAGAAAGTCAAAGGGGACTAAGGGTTAGTTGGATCTAGACCATATTGTGAGTCTCATCATTTATATTGGATTGTTGACCGGCAAAGTACCCGAAGTTTTTGATCCTTTGCGAAGGGTTTTCTCCGTGATCATATTGGTGTTATTTACTTTATGGAATTTAAAAATTGTGGTATTCAAACTTATGATAAATTAATTTGGATGACCTAGTCATCTAAAAAAAAATTAAAAAGTAACTAGTAAATTTTGTAAATTTAGGATTTGACGTTATTCAGTACATAAGTGGATTGGGCTTGCGAACAAAGATTAGAGGAATCATAGCAGCTAGACAACTTAATCTTATGCAAACATTCAGCTTCATGTACTTCTAGTTGCTCTACCGTGCTAGGAATGGGGCAGAGCACTCAGAAGAAAATAGAGGCTAGTCATAAAGGACGGGATATTATGTATAATTTGAATTTGAGCGTGATTTTATTCATTCAATCATACTAGACTTTAAGCATGGTCAAATCAAGAAGAAGATTAGGTTAGAGAGTATAAATAGAAGTTAAGATTTGATTTCTAAGCATTGCAGCTAGCTAAGAGAGGAATAGTAACCCAAGTATTCAAGCTTGACATAGTGAGAATAGAAAGAAAATTTAACAAATTTCATCTGACCAATGCAACTAAAGTATGCAATTTATTGCGATTGCAAGATATGTTTGAGGTTCACAGTAATGTTGGATTAAAGAAATTGTTAAAAATTTGAATAGGTACAACGGTTTGATATTTTCGAAGTGCTCATCAAATGTATTATAATGAGAGCAATTGGAGATCTTGAATTAGAAATCAATTAGAAATAATAACTAAAGATATCAAAATTACACAGCAAAAGAGTTAGAAGGTTATAAATTACGGACTTAAGTAAAAATTAGAAAAATTATCTCGTTGGTACAAAAACTATTATCAAAATGTGAATCATAATATTTGGAAATTATTTTTTTGGTAAAACGATGTAAGGTGCAATTTCCGTTTTTTGGTAAGTTTAAGGATTAAATTGTAAATTATGTAAAATTTAAGAATAATAAAATCAAGTCTTGAGAATATTGCACTGATGGCTTCTAATAAGAATCGTGATTTTTCTGAGATTAACCATGAGATTGATCATTAAATGTAACAAGTGTAAAATATCAGGGACTTGACTACAAATAGTGAGAAAGATATATTTTTAGAGGAGAATGTGACAAGTCAAAATTATTCAATAAAGCCAACCATACATTATTTTAATCAATATTAATAATGTGAATCCCCCAACAAATGGATCTAATTGCACTTCACTCTTACAAGGATCATTAGATGGTAAGGATTACTGTTTGAGCTTTTCATACTTTGAGACATTGAAAGACTAAATTGCAAAAAGGGGGGGGAGGGGATTTCATAAGTAAAAGTTTGAGTATCACACATTCCAAAAATAAGAAAATAGGTTTTAAACTTCAAAAATCAGATTTTTATTAAACTTCACAAATTATCGATTACATATTAACAACTTTTTAGATCACACATTATTTCTTGTCACAAGTCATTTTTTTTATTGGTCATATATTGTTTATTAGTCACAGATTAACTATTTTAATGTTCACAATCAACCAATTAATTTGTGACAACCAACACCTACGACCATCACCACCAACACACTACTACCTCCCGCAACACTGCCACCACCACTGCGGTAGCCAAAATCACCACCACCACCAT